TTGCAATATTGCCGGCTGGCGCAAGGTTTATCAAGCTCACCGTCGATCTTCGCCGCCTTTATCCACAAATGCTTTGCTGGATTGTCATCGGAGGAAAAAGGATATTACACGATCAACTACCAAGACGACTTGGCGGTCATCGCCTCAGAAAATGCCATGGCGGACGCTATCGTAGCAGTACTCACGAGATGCCGAGAAAACAACCTTGTTGTCCGTCTCCCAAAATGCGAATTTTACAAATCAAGTCTCTCATTTCTTGGTTATGTCTTGTCTGAAGAGGGAATCAAAATTCCCGAGAAACGAATCAAAACTTTACTCGAACTGCCGTTTCCAACGAATCAAAGAGAGGCGCAAAAGTTTCAAGGCTGCTTCATGTACTATCTACGACAAACACCGGAACTTTCAGCTCTTCTCAGCCCGCTGTCGAAACAGATTGCCATGAAAAAACACTACGTTCTCACAGAAGAAATAAAGAAAAACATACTCCTACTGCGCGAAAACATCAAGAATGGATTGCAAACATGCCATTTATAATACAACTGCCGAAATCCAGACCGAAAAATCTTCATTTGCGCGGATACAGCCTTGACTAAAACTGGCGGAGTCATAGGCAACGTTACCATTAAAGACGGTCATCTTTATGATATAAAAATCGCAGCCTACTGCTCGAAGCAACTCACCGATCAGGAAACCCTGTTGAGCAGTCGCGCTCGCGAACTGATCGGACTGCAAGCAGCACTCCGAGCGTTCAAGGACAAGGTCCCGCTAACGGAAGAGCTTATCCTGTTTACTGACCATAGAAGCTTGGAAGGGTGCATCCACAGCTCTGGTCTACGAGGCAATGGAGGAACGAGAGTACGAAGTGCATACGCCGACTTGGTCGAATTTCCGAGAGCTAGAGTCTTTTATATTCCAAATACTACTGATCTGATAAAATGTTCTGATTCAATCTCGCGATTTGACATAAGCAGCAGCGAATTGAACCCACAAGTTTTCCACCCAAAAGAGTACCGAAAAGCCGCGGAAGGCGAAAAAGTTGAACCAGAAGAAAAGTCAATAAAAAAAAGTCAAGTTAACGCTGTCAAATTGCGTAAAAAAATTGAAGAAGTCGATAATTTGAAAATTGTTCGGGAGCAGCTGGCCAGCAAATTCTCAACAATACACGAAAAACTCGAAGATAATGAAGAAGTTGAAGTTAATGCAAAAATGTACACCAAACGGAATAATGGTCTGTACTTGAAAACAAAAGAAGGACGTCTCCTTCTTGTCATTCCGAAAGATCTCGGATACAATCTACTTGAAACTCTCCACGTAAGAGGTGCACACTGTGGCACTAAAAGTTTACTCTATCAAATCGAACAAGAAGACATCTGGGTGGAATCGAAAACAAAAACCGCAGCCGAAGTAGTGCGTGGTTGCATTCTTTGCAAACTCATCTATCGAAAATCAGAAAAGAAATCAAAAGATCAGAAAATAAAACCAAGTTTCTCTCCCTACAGTATGGCGTACACTGACATCGTCGAAATTTGATCCGAGAATGGAACGATTTTTAATGTTCTCTCATTTCAAGATCACTTCTCTCGAAAAGTTACTTACAGAATCGTGAGAAATAAAGAAAGTGCTACAGTGGCAGAAGCTCTTTCTGAATTGATCACGGACATCGGTGGTCAAGGACAACTCACCCTAGTTTCAGACAACGGTCCTGAGTTCACCGAAAAATGCACCGTAAATGTACTCGCCTCAATGAACGTCCGACATTGCTACATCAGCCCTACGAATAGTAGGGCGAATATCGTCGAACGATTTCATGCAGAATTGAGAAAAATCTTAAAAACATCGGACATCAACGCGAAAAATGCAAAGCACAAAATTGATTTGAGTGTCTCAATCTACAACAACCGTCCATCAGAAGCACTTGGTTATAGAACTCCAAACCAGTGTCTAAGTAACATTGATCCTCCGAAATATTTTTGTCTTTCCAGTCCAAGCGATCCGGAAATCGAGCCAGAATATGAGTCACATGTCACCGATCTGAGAATGATGCAAGGAATCGTCGCTAGAAATCATTTGGAAAATTTCTTATCAGAGCCCGTCAACGACCAAGAAATTTACGATGAAGGCGACATTTGTGTTCTCCGCGAATCAAGTTTAATCGGTCATTCGAAGAGTAACGAAGGACCTTTTATCGTCAAAAAGAAAAAACAAAACAACAATGTCATCATCAAAAGCCTCATTACTGGACGAATGTATCAACGGAACACAAGATTTCTTTCGAAAATTTATCTCACTGAAGATGATAAAAAGAAACTGATAATTGATGATTCAATTATCTTTGACGCAAAAACACGTGAAGTCCGGCCAAAAGCCTTAGAAGGGGTAAAGGGAATTTTAGACATTACTTTCAAAAACCCTGAAAAGAATCAAGAAAACATCAGCGATCAAGAAACGACTGAAAACACGAGAAAATACAATCTGAGGCCGCGGAAATGAGGCTCGGAATGCTCCTGGCTATCAACGCGCTGCTTCACTGTTTCTTCATATTCCCGTTTTTACCATTCACAAAAGCATCATCTATCATCTCAAATGTATTCAATTAGCCGAATATTTTGAAATTTTGACCATTTTTAGGGGCTTTGTACAGGTGCCATATGATACATTTTTAGAAAGCTTATATTCAGGGCATTTATTTAGGACAACGTAGGGTAAATTTGGGCCACAAATTGGACAAAAAAGTCCACAAATTTGATGTCCACAAATTCCATAATAACCTGTAACTAAATTTTTTCGAAAACAGATACTTTTCAATCTAAAAGTCGATTTACCACGGAGTTAACTGATAGCTTCTGAGAATTAATGGAAATCTCGCCAACAAGGTCCACTTGCGCCCGAAAAGAATTAAATTCAGCCGTCGATTGCCTCTTTTTTTTAAAAAAAAATTATAACATGTCAATAAAATTTGAAAAAAATCCGAAAAATTGGACCATGGTCCATGGTCGATTTTGCAGTGTCCCACTCAAAGGCCTTAACATCTGAAAATTTTCCGGAAAAGTGGACTCCGGAAAATAGGAAACCAACTGTATTCGAAAAATTTCAAGGACCCTCTGTGGGACATTATTTTACTCGGAGAGGCCGAATTTCCGGACTTTTTCTTGAAAATTCCCGAACAAATGTTGTCCGGAAATATGGCAACTAACTACAGTTATTTTCCTCTATTGTGGACATTTTTTGGGTGAAGGGCGGCCACGGTACAAATTTGAACCGCCGGTACAAGCCGAATATAAAATCCGAGAAAAATGTGCGGTTCGCGCTAGAATTAAAAAAATTACTCCATACTGGTATAGCTGAAGTGAAGTTCAGTCCAAAAATAATCATTATTTTGGGTAAAAATCGGTTTTTATTGTCAAAAAAATAATCATTTTTTGTACCGGCGGTACAAAATTTGTATCCGCGGTACAAATTTCAATTTTGTACCGTGGCCGCCCGCCCCCATCATTTTTTGTCCCAAATTTTCATAAAAATGTCCACAAAAGTGGGCAAGAAAATGTCATGCCGTAGAGCGTATGAATTTTTTTTTCGATAAATTTTTTCCGAAAAATAGCAAATTTTATCATTAAAACGACTTTTTTTTGTCAATTTTACCCTTTTTAGTCAATTAAATGGTGAAGGCCATTAATTTTTAATTAAAAACATGCTGACTTTTGAAAAAACACCCTGTTTATTCCTCAAAAATTTTCTTGACAGGACAAATGCTCATAAAAATGGAACATTATCCTTGCAAATATGAGTCATATTATATGACCCAAAAAAAACTCCTTAAAATTAAGAAAATGTCCACAAAATGGGGGTCCACAAAAGAGGAAAGAAACTGTAATTGTCTAGTTAAAAAGGGCAAAATTTTGAATTAACAAAGCACTATTCAGATTATCACACGATCGTCGAGCAGCGATAATTTTGACAACGAGGCCATATGCAGGAACAATAAATCCGAATTCAGTGCCTCCTCCCTTAATGTGTGAATACATTCTTAATAAATCAGACGGTATTTTAGTTGGGACAAAAAAAGACTAAAACACTGTTTTTTTTTAAGGTTGCAACAAACTTTGTCCCAACGGCCTGCGAAATCCTTAGGTCGTAGCCCCATAAAACTATATATTTTTAGAAAGCTCAGACCCTACTGCATTGCTTTTCGGGGGTCTTGTGACCTCAGCGGGGTCATGTGACCTCAAATGACCCCTTTTAACAAGGTCATCTCTATTTTCTTGATTCTTCGATGGGAAACGGGTTTAAAACAATATAATCTGACTTAATTGAAGTCATTATGAATGTTGACAATTTTTACGGGTCATCTGAGGTCATGTTGACCTCAAATGACCTCAGTATATCAATTAAGGATAAATTAGAGGAATTCATGTTAAATTTATACAATTGTATCGGGAATTACATTTAATGCTCTCTAACAACCTCAATTGACCTCAAATGACCTCAAGTGACCTAAAATGACCTCAAATGACCTCAGTTTATCAAACGAGGCGAAATTAGAGGAATTTATGTAAAATTCATAAAAAAGTATCATGAATGACCTTTGGTGACCTCGAATGACCTCAAGTGACCTCGAATGTTCTTAAATGACTTTTTAACCTCCAAATATCGAGACCGAGACCTTACTTTTGTTTATAAAGAATAAACGTTGAGTCGATGTGCAGTGACCTCAAGTGACCTCAGATGACCCCAGATTGACTACTTCGCCCGGAAACATGATCATTAGGTTGATTTTAATCGAAAATATCAAATTTAAAACGTTTCTTTCAGATTTTGAACTCGATTTTTTCGGTTTAAATAAGGGTTAATTTCCTCTGACTTTCGGGGCGGTTTGGCTAAGTAAGTAAGTCGCTGGGCTGCGGCTGAAAGCATGTGGGTTCGAATCATAGCGTGATAATGATTCTTTCGAGTCATTCTTCACCAGATTCTCAGACAAGATTATAAAGAACGTTCTGTTTAGAATGCGAATCCTTATCCATAACAACTACAATGTTCTTGCTGAAGAGTTGACATGTGCTCGTGTCAAGGAAGAGTGCGTTCTTGATTTCTGTGAGATCAAGCCTGGCGCACTTCATACAGGAACACGTATAGGAGGGCGTCCATTACGAACGATGATGAATCATCGTCGCCAATATGAGCCTGAACATCGACGTTCGGGCTTCATAGTCATCAGACTTTCGGTTTTGGATAATCCAGTTGAGGCAAAGCGAGCGCGGGCGAATCTAGCGAATGCATTTCAGAAGATCTATCATGTAATGTACGACAAGGTCTTCTATGGAGATGATGAGCTAATTCATGCTGATGATGAACGCCGGGAGATCTGGATTACGATCTATGGCAAGGATCCCTGGAGCGTGAGACCGTGGCAGCGAGATGAATCCCAAGACGTATTTCAGTCGAATAGAATAACAGTTTCGTACTTTTTGGGACCAAGAGTGCCAATTTTCGGCCAATTTCCTCAAATTCTTGAGCCTCTAGCGCCCTCCAGAGTGGGTCTAACGATGGTTTTCTACACATATTCTGAGCCGTCAAAGCCTCTTTTACAACCTGAAATAGGTTTCATATCCACAGACCCGGGATACTAGAAGCTACGGTCCCTTATCCCGAGAGTACCAGATTTTTGCCTCTTGGGACGGCCAAAAGTGCCCCGGGGCATGAGTCAAACCCCTTACTGTCAATAGTCAAAATGATCCCCAGCTTCTGGGCTTTCTAAACATGTATTATACTCCCTCCCTACTAAGCCCAAAAAAAAGCTCATTTTTCGTCGAGTTTCCCTACTCATTTTCCCTTTTAAGAACACATTTTATTTTTGGATGACTCATTTTTCCTTTTCGAAGACTCATTTACCCTTTGATGACTCATTTTCCCTTTTGATGACTCATTTTCCCTTTTGAAGGAGTCATTGAGAATCAAGTCAAAGATCAAAATGATCCTAAAAACACGAGGAATCTAATGATAGGCAATAATGGACCGTATCAAAATTTTGAAAAATCGGATAAATTGAATAAATAAAATATCAGGAAAGGAGTCCGACCTAAGCCTTCAAGAAGCTGAAGCAGAGAAAGAGAAGCTCACGGGAAAATAAGGTACTCATCGAGATTTTGAGGAAATTTTGGTGAAAGCCCCGCCAACTCATTTTAAGCCTGGATTTCAACCTCACTTTTCCTCAAGACAAATGTGCCAATCCAATGGCAAATTTCCCTTGCCTTTCTCTGGCTTTTAATAGAAATGGGCTAAACGACCCGAGCTTATAGTTGAGTAGGAGTACAGTTAATTATGAAATTTTTGGACATTTTTTGTCCCAAGATTTTCGCAAAAATGTACAAAAATTTGATGCATGCTGTCAAAAAAAGTGTCCCATCCAAATCGCTTAAAAATTTTTTTTTTGAGGAAAATCTCCATCATCCTCTGTCTCATCCTTCTTCTAAAGACAAAAAATGTTCTAGGGGTACGAGATCAACCTTAACCTTAGCCCGCCAAGGTACACCACAATTCGAGAACCGTTCACTTATTTGCTCACTGGGCTTGACGTTGAAAGTTTCTTTGAAAATTGAGGAAACGTTGAGACGGCTTTATCGATTATCTATCGATGATGGGCTTTTCGGCCTTTTTCTGATAGACCTTAGCGTCGGTAGACCCTTATTTTTGCAAAAAGTCCCTACACCATATATGGTTGTTGTAATATGCTTCCTCATTTATGACTACTATAAACTAAGCTTACTTCCTGCTAAAAGCATACTACTATTGTATTGACGGAATTTTGAGCTACAGTAAGAGATAAATTGTTCTTAGTCGAAAAATTTGAAGGGCTGTTGCTGCTGTTTGAGGTCTTCTTCCCACCTAATCTTCCCCTCCTTCAGCCAGTGTCGTTGAGTTGAAGTTGTTATGCTGCAAAGCCATCGTAAGAAATGCCATCCTTGAGCATCGGCAAAGTATGCATTTTCGTGTAAGGCGAGCGAATTGTACGGCGCATTCAGGATGAAAGGAGTGAAGGCAGCGCAGTGTTACTGTGGGGTTACCGTTTCGACAAATCGGGCATAAACGGCCGTTTGTATGATTCTCCATGTGTGTGGTAAAGAGACGAAGTCCCATCGAGTCCCAGCAAGCAGGACAATGATCATATTTTTGGCATCGCTCAAAGAAGCAGTTTATGTGAAGAAAGTGCCCACATTTTGCTTTGATACCCATCTTCATACTTGATTCACTGTCTCGCGTTGAACAAAAAACGCAGACTTCGTCAGGGTTTGGCGTTACTATTCGGCATCCTTCGACGAAAACGAACATAAAAGTTGTTGTAACGAGCCAATTAATGGGTGTTTCTTCGGCGTTTCTATTGACAGAGCTCGTTTTTCCGGCTCTTTCAAGGCGACCACTCGAAAAATCGTTTCTGTTACTCATGATCTGAATCAGAGTTCTAATAGTTTCTGTCAGCTAACAATAATGGATGTCTTTAACAGCTGTAAATTTCATCATTTTAGCTATGTTTCTTCAAAAGAAGAGCTTTTAGCAAAACTGTATAGAAAAGAACTGTAACAGTAAAAATTTAGTTCACTTTCCGTAAAAACTTGCGTTTTTCGGAATCCGTTTTTCGATGCTGGAATTGATGTTAAAACGGTATTTGAGAATATCCTTTTTTTTTAAAGCTCATCGATCATGATATCGCTTTTTTTTTAAATGAGCTTATTGAATTGACCTTACAGTTAATCAGTGTTTAACTACAGAATGATAAGTGGAATCCTTAATGGTTAAGTTTTTCTGTAATCGGACTCAAGTTTTTTTTTTATGAATCAGTCTTTCATGAGAGTCCATGATTCTTTTGTCCATATTTTCTGATTTTCATGAGATTTTTGATAAAGAGAGACGTCCGCTAAATATTTTCTACTTTAAATCGTTTCAATTCGAGAAATGGAGGTTTTTGCTCTCCAATGGGGCTTGTTTTTTTTTCAAAGAGGAAGAAAAAGGGTATGAATGAAAGAACTATTTAAATGAATATTTATCTTATGGGTACGGCTATCGATTTTGAGAGTGGCTTATTCTGATTGTTGAAAATACTTTGTTTTTTCCTGAATTCAAGGGGCTTCCGTGAGTTTTTTGGTGAAATGAGTCTCGTACGGACCAAAATTTAGGAGAAATCTGTATTAAGGCTATTTTTTATTAAATCGAATGATCTAAGGGAGTCGTTTGAATCAAAAGGGGGTCGTAGATCCTTAACACAAAAATTTTAATTATTGAACATGACTTTCATCAATGGGTATTCAGATAGATTCTGAGAAATAAAGATCAAGTTTAGCCAATCGATGTTAGTAACCTTAATATTTGGCCGATTTGCCCGTTTTATTGAAGCCCGTGATCTGCGCTAGAATTGACCCTCCCAGAGTTATTCGAGCGTTTCGGTGGTGTTCTTCACTACTGTTCGCTCCAAATTATTTTATTGGCCGTAAAATTTTGAACTTCTCCTTCGCCGCCTTGACCTCTTTATTTTTATGGTTTCTGCCTGAGCGCTTTAACCGAATTCTGAATTTCAGAATTTCTCATTTTGAAAAATCGGTCAAAAAGGCTGTGAAAATGGTTTTTTCCAAATCTAGAGGTTAAAAGAAGGAAAGCAAAGAAAGAAAAAGATGGAAGACAAATTTTTGAAAACATCTAAAGTAAGTCGGGAGCAATTCTTTTTCAGCGCATTTTCGGACTAAGTACAATTTAAGGGTATGCATTTCTTTTAAATTTTCGGATTCGCCGTTTTTCCGAAAATGAAATATTCACAAATCAAAGATTACAAAGGATCTTTATCCAACTTTCAGTTGCATTTAAACGAAAGTGGGCAACTCTAAAATGGTGAATAAGAAATTCATTCAATAATTTCGGGGCTCAAATTTCTTTACTCAAATGTTACTAGAAACGCAAGAGTCCTATTTTAAAATCGACTGAACCTAAAGGGTAATGCGCTCTGAATTCAAGTGAGCCTTTTTTCTTTAAGGATATCACAAAACAATTTTCAATTGAACTAGTAATCTCAATTCGAGCCGTTATTTCAAAAATTCTTTATCTCAAATATGAACAGAGGACAAGCACAACTCAAAAGCATTGTTGCATCACAAATTCTCCGTATCACGTGACCTTCACGAATATCATTTTAGATAATCAACATTGCTTGAATATCCCTTTAAAATGAAATGAACAGAAATTCTTCCTTTTTCTCTACTTTTGATTCATTTTTTTCTAAATGCGAATTTTTCTTGGCTTGATTCGGGTGGGTCAAAAGTTATTTACCATTGTAAATTTGGCTACTTGAGAAAATTTACATAGGTCACAAACACTGTTTGAAAGCTGCGTTTTCAAAAAACTTTTTCCGGTCGTGTTCAGATTCCGGTCCCCGGAATGCAAACATAGGTAAAATAGCTTTTTTCCTGACTCAAGTCTTTCATTTGACTCGGAGTATTAAATATTTCTTTGAGATCATTTAATTTTTCAAATTATGTAACGAAAGCCCTTTATTCTCAAATTTTCGTAATGGCTGTCAAATAACTTTAATTAAAAATTACAGATCTAAGTTTTTATCAAGCGCAGACTTATATTAACGTCTTATCAATATCAAAGTTTAAAATTTGTTAAGTTGTCGTAAAAACTTATTATTTGAGCTGATTTGCTCTCGCTTTGTGGTTTATTTACTTACTGATTTCTGACGCGAAAAGAAATCGGTGGGCTTATTCCTTCCCACAGACGTTCAGAGATTTTTCAAAGTGAATCTCCATGGGCCCACTTTCGTGTAGTGAAATGGCCAAACGTCATTTACGGGGTGCCTTTGGCTCCCTGGCAGTATACGGAGACCAACTGCCCTCCAAATGGAATCCCTATTATGTTAAATACCTTAACTTAGCGAGAGACCACATGCATGATCCATGCGTATGGCGAAGTCAATATTGTCTTTGCCTATCCCTCTGCAAGGTGATAATAACATCTGTCGCCGGTCTACAGTTTGCCTGCGAAACGTAAAAATGAGGCCTATGCCGAAAACATTTTTACATCGCAAAACTTTCAGAGGTTAGTTCAGCTTAGATTTTGAGTCTTTTATGATTCTCAATCATAATTTGTTTTTCAATTTTTATTGAACCGGTTTGCGCTTGATTAAGACTACTCATTAAATCATAATAGCTACTATACTTCTGTCATTGTTGTTTGTAAGTAACCCTTTACATACCTTTTGTGTCGTTTTTGTTTTAATTTCGAAGGAGTCGTTTTCGCGTTGGGGCCCATCCTTCAATTTTCTTATTCGTCATTTTTCGGCGATGTTATTTCGTTATGATGAAATCGTTTCGTAGCACGTCGCAAGCCCAACTGTGTTGCGATTTTTCAGGCAGTTAGCGCTCAATACGTTTCATCCTGGATCAATGTCGAATCCTTTCTGCTTGTTTTTTCCTTTTTCTTCTGCCATTGAAGTAACTTCGAGCTTTTTATGTGGAAAATCCCGTCTCCAAGCTGAAGTAAAGGAATCGTTTTGGACACCATAACCTTTTTCTGTCGATTTACCTAGCTAATTCTGTCGTGTTTTCGTCAGTTGATCAGGGTTATAGTTTCCTCGGCTCCACAT